TATTATCTTATGAATCTTAATTTTTTTCTAATCACTTCCGGTGGCGCAATATTTACTCCAAAAGCTCGTGCGTAGGCTTCCATTAAATGCTGATTATCTAGAAAACGAGCTCGGGACACCCTATTTTTCTTTCCAGATTTGGAATCAGCATTAAATTTCAATTCAGAAAATCGAAGTTTTAAAAAAGCTTAAATCAATTTCCAAAAGTAGGCAGTCACCTTAATGCCATTTTTATTTTTAAAGATGAATGTAGAGGACATGCCAGATGATTCTGCTACTAGACTTGGTTGGTCAAGACTTTATGGTGAGCTGAGGTTTTTTTCTGCCCTCTGTCCGGGCTTTAGGCTTGGGGACCAGCCTCCTACTCAGCCCTATTTGTGTGTGTGTGTGTGGGGGGGGGGGACAACCTCTGCTCACAGGGTAAAGGATATCATTAGCAATATCATGAAGAAGCCTCATGCAGCAACCCTAAGGACATCTTGGAGACTACTGTGAACTTGGATTTTAGGCTGAGGGTATAAAAATAAATTATATTGTTCTCTATACAGTTTGTGAAAAATACCTCAATTTGAGGGTTTTTCTCTGGATTCTCCAGTTTTCCTCACACCACAAGACCTAAAATGCTGAATTCTAATTCAATTTTTGAGTTAGCCATGCTTTGACTTTCATCAAGGCTAGGCTGTTTCAGAGTATCAATAAAATTTGAATGTTTTTTTTTTCTTCTACCAAATACTAAATTTCTTTCCAGGAAACTTGCAAGCACCATTAGGATATGATAGATTTAGTTTTTCCTGGCGAAGTAAAAAGGGAACTCGTTTTCATGAAAGTAGAGGCAAACATTACAGGTATGATGCAACTAACTTTTATATAATTTCTTTGGTCAATCATAACTCTTATGTGAGACTGATAAACAAGGTGCATTATGGTCTAGCTTGGGTACAAACAAAACCATACTGGTTCCCTATAGCTGTAATTGGTAGATCATCTAAGAAAGCCATGATTGCTATGATTACTTTTTTGTCTTTAATGCGATTCTTAATATTCTGCTAATTTCAATGGCTTGTTGTGAAATTGTTTTCTTGCTGGTGTCAATCAAAACTGATCAGTTGGTACCTTTTATATTTTTGACTTGCGGCAGTCAAAATCATATTCAGGGGTGGATCCAGGGGTGGTAAAAGGAGTGACTAGTCACCCCACTTTTGCTCAAATTTCTCAGTTTATCCTTAGCAACAGTCACCCCCCTTTTTCTAGAATTCCTGGTAAAACCCTTGAAATAGTCACCCTCTCCCCTTCTAAAATTCCTGGTTCCGCCCCTGAACTTTCAGTAAATATGCTTTATTATTTCTCGACAGTGATAGTGGTTACACAGTAGGAGATGTACTTGGCTTTTTCATTTACTTACCAGACAATAACAGACACCCATGTAAGTATTGAAGGCTAGAACTCTGATGTAGGGGACAGGGCTTAAAATAATGGCCAGACACCAGTCGACAATGTCCGGCCAGAACTGTCCCCCCAGAAAGATGATTGATAAAAGAAATAAATAAGGGAAGGTCGCAAAAATTTAAGCCTAGAACATAATGAAGGTATTAGTGAAATAAAAGTGTATAATAATTATTGATGTCTCATAAAACTTTTTCATCTCATTTATTTTTCATCCTCAGCAACATTTCTCCCTTCCACTTTTAAAGATCGGGTAGGTTCAGTTTATTTATCTGCCTTATCATTTTTTTTCCTATTATTGTCCTTTTTTTTACGAGGGTAGCACTTAATAGCCAATGGCTAACAAACCTGTGGCCCTCATTCCGTGATTGAATTGGAATTTAGGAGTTAATTTTTGTGGAGGGAGGAAAACTGGAGAACCCGGAAAACCCTCGAAGCACAGGAGAGAACCAACAAACAACTCTACTCATATACAACACCGAACCTGGTGGGACTCGAACTTGGGTTGCATTTATGAGGGGCAAGCGCTCACACCGCTACGCCACCCGTGCTTCCCGTATTTATCCCGATATCCCGATATTATTACCATGCCTGCCTATGTTTAGCTTTATTGTCAGTCTCATCTGATGGGAGAATGCATGTAATAACTTAGTTGCTCTATTCCTTCTTAGGCTCTTATCAAGTTCAAAAACTATCTTTATTTTGAAGAGAAAGATCAAGTAGATGAAGCTATTAAAGTAAGCTGAAAAATCCTTTATTGCTATACTTCAATCAGCTGATAAAAGGCTTTGAAAACTCTTTTCCCCCTCAAAATGCTGGTCAAACACTGACCACCATGTACTTTAAACCAGAAAGAAAAGAAAAAAAAATTGGAATTCATCTGATGCTTATTTTGCATTAGAAGGGAAATGCTAATGTGGAATTAGTTGAGATTTATATTTTTGTTTATCATTTAAACATTGATTATGATTTTTGTTATATTTTGTTTCAGAAACTAGCTACTTTATCAGGAAGTAAGGTAAGCAATTTTGATAGTTTCTCTCTTAAATTGCATGATAATTCAATGAAAAAATAATCAAATGTTGAACAAATAATAAATTATTCTTTACAGATTAAATTTTACAAAAATGGAGTTTGTCAGGTAAGGCTACTTTCTATTAGTGTTGTTTATTTACCTCAAGTTGGAATTTCTGACTTTTGAGTAGAAGAAAGAAAGTTGATTTCCAACTTCATGTTTTCTCCAATTCTAGGGTGTTGCCTTTGAGGATATCTTTGATGGGGAGTACTATCCAGCCATTTCAATCTACAAGAATGCTACAGTAAGTGGTTAATCTGAAACATCATCCTGCAGTCTTCTTGACTGATGATGATGATGATGATAAATATGATATGATGAATATGATAATTTTAATGATTGATGATGATGAATATGCTAATGATGATGATGATGATAATGATAGCAGAATGGTGATGGTGATGATGATGATGGTGAAATGGTGATGGTGATTATGGTGATGATGGTGAAATGGAGATGCTGCTGGTGGTGGTGGTGGTGGTGGTAATAGTGATGGTGGTGATAATGATGATAATGGTAATGATGACAATGATGAATGTGCATTACAGATGAATATATAATTTGATAAAGGTTATGATGTTGCCGATGACCTCTGATTATGAGGAATGTAATGATGAATGAGATGGTGAATAAGATGATGTTGATGGTGATGATGGTGGTGATTATGATGGTAATGATGATGGTGGTGATTGTGATGGTGGTGAATGTGATGCTTATAATCATGGCAGTGCCAATGACGATGGTAATGACGATGGTAATGATGATGACGGCTGAGGTTATAAAAAGTCTCGTACTTTCCTTACAGGTGAAAATAAACTTCGGCCCATACTTCCAGTTTCCACCCACCGATGAGGAGTTCAGACCAGTAAGCTTTTTTGGGGTCCTGTGTTTTAGTGCTTAGGTGGAGGGCAATGATGAAGGGCCTATGTTTTCAAGGCGAAGAGGACTAAGCTTTTGGTGCTTACTTGACATCCTGTCTGCTCTGTGTCATGTTGAGTCCCAACCTCCTTCTCGTTCCTCTCCCCCTCCCTTCTCTCCTTTCCTGGGTACTATACTGTTGATCTGTTACGGATACCTGTTACTTAGGGGATGCAAGTTTATCTGCAAGTCATCTCAGTTTCTTGAAGCCTAACTGTCTGTCTGTATCAGCCTACGTAATTATTGTGCTAATTTTTTCAGATGAGTGAGAGAGCAGGGGACATCATGGTTGAACAAGCATTAGCAGACAGCCTGTACCACGTCGAAGCTCTTGAAAAACCTGCCCAACTCACTGATAAACCCCTTCTTACAAAGCGAAAATAACAGCCTTTAATAGTCGACATGCATAGAGAATTACAAAATATTTAATACGAGTCAAGAAGCCCAGCTGCAGCCATCAAGCCTGACCATTAGTAGTTAATATATGTACATAGCATATGGACTATATATAAAGAAGAGTACTGTACTCAAGAGAAACGAGAGTCATAATCGATGACGTCGCTTGTTTGCCGCAGTATCCCGTGGCGAATACAGTAATAATAACTGTACTTTCATATCTATTCTATTTAGTTTGCTAGTTTTCATTTACTTTCGAGGTCTCTTTTCCCATACTTTTTGTATAAGTTTACAGAGTACACGATGTTACTAAACAAAATAGAGAAAATTAATTCGTTACTCCAACATACTTTATCGACAGAACTCTCCACTCCATGTAGGTAAAAAAAGCCCGAATTTTTTGAAGTGTTGTACTTAGTACTTCACTATCTTGAAGACGTATTCATAATAAATGCTGGAAAGGATTTCTGTGTTACGCAGTGCGGAATGATTGATCGTGAGTAGGATAGAAGTGCTTTGATGAAGAAATAGAAAACGTGTGCTGTTGTACTGTGTGCAGTTATAAAGCACGCGGGGGTTGGCAGAACGCGAGAGAAGCGTTAGGAGAAGCACGACGCGTAGCGGAGCAAAGGGCGCGTACAGTACAGAATGCAGTCTCTTGGGCCAGAGCAAAAATATAAAACAAAATTATATGATTGTTTTATGGACGTGGCTGGAAAAATTTCACTGTTGCTCAGATTTAAAGGTCAATTTTCACGAGCAGAAGGTTTAAAATTTGTGTATTATTCTTGAAAAAAAAAGACTCATTTAAAAATAACAATTCCAGTCAAACTTGCTAATTCGCATAGTTAATTTTCTCATTCAGCAGAAATAGAATTTATATTTAGGCTAAAAGAACAAGAGAGGAAGCAAAAAAAGGCGATTATAAGGATACCATTGAAGTGTAGTGGTTGTCCTGGTGATCTACGATGACTGGCAGTATAAGATCACGTGCCATAACATGACGTTTGTTTTGAGAGACTGCAAACGAGGCTGTAGTAAGCTGAGACGCAGAGTAGCTGCGGTGCGACATGAAGTCTTCCCAGATTATTTCACTCTAGCCGTTTTTTCTCAACCAAAATGGGGAGACGTCCAAAGCAAGACACTCCAAAACATGGTAGAATGTGTAGAGTTGCTGTCAAAATAGACCTTTGTCGTGTTGTTTTGTTCATTTTTGTCACACGAGGGCTTGAAGTTCACACTAATTGTGGGCTGTCATCGCTCACACACTCAAATTTCAATTCACTTGTCACCCGCGTGCAGGCTGCAAAATCGTGGCAAAAAATGCTTGAATCCACCTCGTTTTACACCTGACAACTCCTCAGTTTTTAAGAGTAGATAATTGTCTTCCATTTGCAGAGGCTCAGCCGTCGGATGGGATGCGTTCGATGTGGGAACTTGTTTTTATTTCTCAATTCCTACGGGTATTTCAGGACAAGTTTGGTTTTGCTCACTTCGATCTGGAGGTGCGTAAACAACAACAATAATGCAACTCAAAACTTAATTTTTCTCCACCACAATACAAACCTCTCCAAAGACATTATCATGAATCCCCTAATTATAAGTCTTCTGAAGGAATTTCTTGGTTATCTTGGTATTTTTTTACGTTGAAATTTTCGACGTTTACGTTAAAACCTTGTTTCGGTTAAGTGCTTAGATTTCAAGCCATGCCCTACTTAACCCTACAGTAAGACTTTCTTAGTTTTATTAACTACTAATTTCTATCCTCCAGGGTCTAGAAAATGCCTTCCTGGAAGCACAAAATTACCCATTATTCAGTATATTTGCTTCTTTACTAAGGATTCTTCTTAAGAGGCATGATATTAGGTAAGTATTGAGCGGAGTATGAATAGTGTTCACGGTGAACGGGTTAACTTTAGGCGGAAATATTGGAGTTGTGCATCTCGCGGGCATGGACGTTTTACTATCTTCTACCACCCAGCTATTGACACAATATATCCATGTTTCTGATCAGTGAAAGTTTATTGTTCTTCTCTTTTATCAGGATGGACAGCTGGCAGGATGTATTGAGTGAAGAATTAGAAAAACGAGACAGAAATTGGAATCCAATAAAAGACAAAACTTACAGTGAAATATCAGTCGAAAATAGAGTAAGCTTACGTAAAATGCCGTCGTATCTGCATAATTTTGCTTTCATTATTATTCCTCAAAAATCCAAGCTTTCTTCTCCGATATCATATCCTTAATTATCCAAATCCCTTTTTTCAAAATAAATAATAAATTTCAAGTAGGTTAAGATTTTTAAATTTATAATCTAAATGTATGTAATTAAGAACTTACTCATAATGGTTATTGAAAAATTGTGTCAAAATTGTGAATTTTGGTCATTTGGCATGAATTGTTCAGTAATCACTTTTATGATAATTCATAATTTTCTCATGATTTAAAAAAATAATTAATATTAGTATATTTTTAAAGCATGTCATATTCTAAATATATTTTTTTATGTTGATAATTCTCTGCACATTTTATTTTTAAAAAATCCATTTTGAGATGAAACTCCAAAACATTTTTTGGATCTTCAAACTTTTTAATGTATAAAAATTGTGTTTTCAAACTGTGTACAGGACTAATGAGCATACTGCATTCTCCATTTCCTTCTTAAAATTTTATCTTAAATATTTGATTTGTGATCAGTAAATAAGCTTTATCAGACCACTTATACAGACTGAGCTTAAATCTCTTTCAAATTAGCAATTTCCAATAAATTAAAATCACACTTTCTGCAAAAATGAGCAACTCAAAAAAGCCTAGATCAATTTTTTGCTCTTTTAGCTGCAGATATTGGTAATTTAGATTTGATCACTAATGAGATGAAATAGAATATAGAATTTAATATTTTTAGTTTATTTTGTCTGACCTAAAATTTCAGATGTAGGATATTAATTGGGGTAGTTAAATCCTTTTGAGTAACATTGAACTTCGTTATTGAGCATAATGAGATTAATTAAGTAAACAAAACACTATGAAAAAAGCCCAACGATAATGATAGTTAAATCATCTTTAATATCAAATACTTTAAACTGAGCTCTTTATTGATTATAATGAGAATATTATGTAACGATGATGTTTTATATTGTTAGTAAGTTGATATTGCCATTTAACACCAACGGCATGATCTATACTTAGTGGATATATCATATTTAGTCTTTTATCTTGATTCATATCTGATGGTAATCATTTTTTAATCATCAAAGGTTAAATCTGATGAGTTTGAAATAGAAATCCAGTAGTATCTTTTTGATATATATAGACATCCTAATTTTGATCCTTGTGATTTATAGATCTTGCTGCTTCAACATCTGATACAGTATGTGTGTGAGAATGATCAAAGTCCTGAGTTAAAAGATTTCCATGCTGAATTCCTTAATCCTGATTCCAAGGTAGGATAGACTTTTACTTGATGTTATGAATAGAGCATACACAAAGGGCAGAAATGGTACAGTCAACTTAAAAAATAATATGCACCACATATATGAAGTACCATATTTGACTTTCAACATATAAATTGATTAATTTTACTGAGTGTTTAGTTTATTTATAATAGTAATATCCTATCGTCAATTTATTGTGGAATACATTTTTTACTTAACCAAGAATAGGTTAAAATATTGGGGGGGGGGGGGGGGGGGGGGGGCAAGAGAGGGATGATATTGCTCTCTCATTGAAAATGAGGGATTATTTATAAATATTTTTTGTCTTCATACAGAAGAAAGGGCCAATTGGACAAGACTCGCAGGGCAATATCTATTGGTATTTTGATGGTTAGTACTGTGATTGTGTAGTTCCAGAATATTTCCATACCCCACCCCCAAATTCTGTAGKGGGGGGGGGGGGGGGGATCAGAGAAAAAAMAAAATTACAGAATTTGCATGGAAGAAAATTGGAAGTTCCTGAGGGCAGAAGGTCCCTTTACGGGGTATGGATATTTTCTGGGACTCTAACACTTTATGAATATCCTAATCATATTGACTTTTGACATCTTTAAACATAGACTTCACCACAAATGTTTACTTTCGGTTTATAGATAAAGTTCCAAGTTCAATATTTATTTTACTGATTAATGCATAACATTTATTGGACTGATGCGCAGGTGACAACAATCATTAAAATATAAATACGTAATACAATAAAGTAAATTTTTCTTTTAGACCTTCATGATATTTTCCTTCATTTGTAAAGCTATAGATTAGTACTTCTACCTCATGTATTAAAGTTATGTAAATTCTTTGGATTTATGCCTCATGAGTCCAGCTGTGGAGTGCTCAAGGGATTTATCATTTAAAAAAAGTCCTTTTTTTCAGGAGTGTAGCGCTTAAGGTGACTGCGCCTACTTTTGGAAATTGATTTAAACTTTTTTTAAAATTTGGATTTCCTGAATTGAAATTTAATGCTGGTTCCAAATCTCGAAAGAAAAATGGGGTGTCCCGAGCTCGTTTTCGAGATAATCAGCATTTAATGGAAGCCTATGCACAAGCTTTTGGAGTAAAAATTGCGCCACTGGAAGTGATTAGAAAAAAATTAAGATTCATTAGATAATAGTTATTTGCAGACTATGTAATTGCACGAATGAAGGCTAGTCAATCATTCTACAATAATGCATGGATATTTTCAACAAAAAGACAAAGAGATACATTGATTTGTCATATTTTGTAGTTTTGGTACTCTTTAAAAATCTCATGAAGTCGAACAAAAATCCCTACAATAATCTATTTTTTCATGTGTTACTGATTTAAACTTTTTCTAAAATGTTGATATAACCTTGATTTTTAGGAGTTTTTGTCGAATGAGCTATTAAAAAATAGAGTCCCGTGCAAAATTTGAGGGTTTTGCCCTGTTGAAGCTCAAAACGCGTATGGTTCTTCAATAAAATTTTGTAGATTTTTCAGCGGTTTTTAAGCGCACGTACATCGTGGGCTCAAATCGAACGTTCAAAAGTAGGCAGCCACCTTAATAGCCAGTGGCTAACAAACCTGTGGCCCTCATTCCGTGATCGAATTGGAATTGACCCTTTTTATTTCAGTAAAAGAACGATCATGACATTTCTTGAAAAAATCTTTTCTTTTGCTATTGCCAAATTCACAAAATAGTATCTAAAAGTTTTTAAATGTTTTTATGGATTCAATTTTATTGATTTAAAAAATAGCAATCAGCATTGCTTACTATCACTCACATGACTTTTTGATGTTGACCAGGTGGTAATTAATATGCAGGTAATGACTGTTAAGTCAAAAACATGTCAAAATTAGTCCCCAAAGTATTCTATCTGGCAGCGAATGTTTCTATCACTTGAAACAATAAATCAAGAAATRCATAAAATCTCCAAGATCCTCCAAGCTTACGAATGTTAGTTAAACCCAATGTCAAAACTCTGATATTTACCAGAAGTGACGCCTATTGATAGACATCTATTGATAGAAAAGAATTGACAAAGAAAAAAAAACACCAATCATTTTGCCTTGTATTCAATGATATCAATTGACTGTCTTATGGAAACAAAATAATATAGCATTTTGTTAGGTCTTTGTAAAACATAAGTTATCAAGTATCTGTAACTAAAACTTTATCAATGTATCAATTTGTAAACAATATCATAATAGTATAAATGATTGTTATAGAGATATCAAATATTTTACAATTGTTTATTCTTAGTATTATTTCAGAGAAAAAGCACTCGTTTACACTTATTTTAAATCAGGTTTCTCTGAATGAGGACATGCACTGCTCAATAAATAGTGTAGTTATAGTTTTTTGAAATTTAAGGTCAAAATCGCTAGAGATGGTTGTTTTAATTATTTTTGTCATTTGAGAAAATAATATATTTCATATATTTAGGAGTAAATCATTATATAAAGTGATTTCTTTGTTTTTCTAATTTTATTTAAAAAAGGAATATGTTTAGAGGAGTGAAAAGCAAGTTTGTGTAGCATGTATAATCATTATTTGTTTTACAGTCATTGAGTCTTTTGTCATGCAAGTCTTTTCAATCTTTTGTTGACATACAAACCTTTATAAGGAGGTGAGTTATTGTGATGGTGATCAGCCATGCATTGAGCCACAATATTTGTATAAGCAGAGTGTGGTTTTATTAGTCGTGTTAACCAATCACAGACCACTCCACCAATTAAACAGGTGACAGACTAATAGAGCTCAACCAATCTGATGGTCTAAGTGTCAAACATTTAGAGTGTTTTACCAGGCCCCCTAGAAGCTACCAATAAACCAAGGCTTTTGCTATTGTTTGAAGAACCTATTGACAAGTTCTAAATAAAAAAAACCTCTTTGTACAGGTACCAGAAGAATGTAATTAAAAGTCAGATGTCAATCAAACAATAACCTCCGTGATCAATGTTTGATGTGATGTGCATGTTTTGCATATATCTTCTAAACTACTCTTCATCATCATCTTAAAACTTCAGCTCTTCTCACTAAGAAACCTCACTCAAGTCATCAAAAGTATGTTTCCTTTTCTTCTTTATTTTTTCTGTGTGATGTCTTTAACTCTTTCTACTGATTTAGTTTGCAAAACATATAATATTCAATTCAAATCAGTTGGTAATGCAACAGCAAAACTATAAATGATATTTGTTGTATTTATTTTAAGTTCTCTGTCACCTAAGCTGTTCTCTGTGTCTAAGCAACTTGAGCCTGTTACATTCTTTTTTTAAATCTGTTTGAATCCTTTCAACTTCACTAGCTGTCATTCAAATCTCTTTTACATCTGATTCACCTGACAAGGTATTAGCAATTTAACTGTTAGTGTAGATTTTGTAGAGTGGGGATTATTGAAGAGGGGTAAGGATATTTTTAGAGGCATGTCGTGATTGCTGTAGCTTGCTTTCGAAAGCCATCATATAATCCTAAATAAACATGATTATATCGTAAGCCTCTAATTCCTCTAGACTCTTAGACTAAGATATAGTTTAATTTTAAAGATCTTGATCTTTAGACTAGAGTGTTTTTAATCATATATTGTCAAGACAAGATTTTTTAAGAACGGGTCTCTTGTCTTCATAATCAATAAAACCATATCATTGAACTTGTTTGATATAAACCTTATAAGTGGAAAGTAAATCTTTTAATTTAAGAATCTTTTCCATTCTATAGGAAGAAATTATTTATACAGTAGTTTGTTTTTGCTTATATTATCTTGGGCGCGTGACTTGATTTAAAAATCAACCAGGACTTGTTGTTATTCATTGCAATACTAATTTATATAGCTTGAAAGTGTATCTTGATAGTATATTATCATTTTAAATATATGTAGTTTTTTGTATGTTATATTTGTTGTTGTTGCAAGCTTGCTTTAAAAAGATATAAAAAAATATTATGTCAGTTGCAGTTGCTCGGCACTTTGTTAAATTTATTAGCAGAAACCTATTTCATTCTCTTTTATATAAACGCCTTTCTTAATAATATTTCAGTTTAAATATGCTGATTTTTATTAAACGAAACCTATTTCCTAATAATAATAATAATAATAGTAATAGTAATAATAATAGATTGTTAAGACATTTTATAATCAAACGACCTAAGAAAGAACTATAAAGCAAAACCCCTACACTGTAACAAAGCCTAGGCTCGTCCTGCTAGTTATTGTGAACTGAAATGACAGAGAGAGAAAAAAAAAAAGATGCTATAATAATAATTATAATAGTAATGAGATTAACAGTGGATTCCACAGAGTGGCTCTTCTTCGCTGGATTCCAATTAATTTATAAGTTGATTTTTGCGGAGAGAAGAAAAGCTGGAGAACCCGGAAAACCCTTGAAGCACAGGAGAGAACCTGTCCAACAAACAATTCAACTCACATACAATACCAAGCTCATCGGGACTCAAACCAGGGTTGCTACGGCTACRGCACCCATGCTTCTCATTTCCAACTATATACTGATTTGCTTGAAATTTTTCAATGAGTTGATATAAATATCTAGATATTAAAACTTCTTATTTAATTATTTGGTTCATTTCATTGCCAAAATTTTCTAAGATGATACTTTCAAGACAATAAAAATTTAAGAAATAGACTCGGCACCCATTAAAAAAAAAACATGCACCCTCTAGCGCACTCTAGTGAAAACACAAAGCTATGAGGGCACATGCCTATAGAATGTCATGGAAACGCCTTGATTGACCTCCACCAAAAGCTTCTTCGTTGTGACAGAAACAATTGCTAGAGCGGAGAGTGTGATTGAGAATGGCTGGCAAGTTTCAAACAAAAGCATTTAATGTGACATTTCACTGTGATGAGCCAATTTAATCAAATGGGCAGAACATGTGCAGCAATTGGTTCAATTAATGATCCAAATTCTACAACATGACCATGCTGACTGTCATGGATTAACATGATTCATATACTCTATTTTCAAAGGGTTTGAGTGTCTATTTTTTTTAACCATACTGGTATTATGTCTATATTCTAGGAGTCCTGCTGATAGCATGATTGAGCATATGCCATGGTTTTTATATGCTTTCATGCTTTGATTAATTTTCTAGACAATGCCACATTAAATCTTAATTTTCGTAATTATACAGCCCAGACAATGAAACATGTCTGGCTTTTTGGCTTCCAGCATTAAAACTTCCAATGGTCTGAGTCACTCTGAAAACTGGAGGTTTAATTGATGTGGCTGTTTTTAGGAGTTCCATGGTATTATCATGACTGTGCTGCATAATGACATTTTTTCTATTTCTTTTTTCAGATTTGAGACTTTATAAAGAGAAGAAAAACAAAAAAGGCAACAAGAAGAGGTAAGAATGAAATCAGACTGTTCTTTTTATCATTTGTGCTTTTATAAAATAGATTATTTAATTCTGTATGTCATTGTTGTTGATGATGATGATATTTGTAAATGAATGTCATGATTGAGGATGATCATGATGGTGTTGATAAGGATAATGATGCTCATGATGATGATGATGATGGCGATGGTGGGTGATGATGAAGATGATGGTAATGATGATGATATTCATGATGATAATGATGATGGTGATGATGGGTGATGATGAAGATGGTGGTGATGATGGTGTTAATGAAGATGATGGTGTTGATAATGATATTGATGATGATGGATGATATGATGATGATGATGATATGAAAATAAGAATAGCAATAAACAACAACAACATTCTTGCAGCATTACTTTATCTTTCAATAGACAATATTTACTATCAGGCAATATTTTTGAATTTATAAAATTATTTTCCCCTGCATTTCTATCACTTTTTCCATTGAGCATGGTTTCTTTGTCTTCTGAATTCACTCATTCCCCAAACCCTTATCAAGTTCCTTTTTCCGGCCTTTCAAACAAGGAAAGATAACGTGATTTGTTAATAAAGCTTATCTTTATCTATAAAGCCGCTATTCCTTGTTGATCCTTGTTTTATTCCTCATTCTTCACTTGTTCTTACATAGAGGTCACTGCAGTTTGATACCAAAGAGAGGCCAAAGACGTGAATAATTTTACTTTAAAAAAATTCCAAGAAACGTTAGAATTACAAATCATAACCTTGATTCACGCTTCAATACTTGAAAATAAAACCAAAGAAAAACAAAATAAGTTTTAATTTTCGTTGATTTGATTCTAAAAGGTACAAATTTTAGCCTTCTTTTTCTGTCCCTGATAAAGATAATGAATATTTTGACACCGTATTCATGAGCCCAAAGCGCTTGGACGTCATACTTGACTTTTGTAAACAGTGTACAGGTTGGCGCGTATTCGCTGTCTCATAGCATTTGAGGTCGATTTTCGTGGATATGATTATAAAATATTAAAACTCATCCAATACGCGTCTCAGTTATAACATCTTCCACAAGGGAAAAGGGGGCTTATCAATTCAAATTTCTCTTCCAAAAATCCGTGTTCTCGTATTTGTTGTCTTTTTCTTTCTAATTCCTGGTGACTATCGATCCTTGAGGTTGGTTTTCAAAAGCAGATCGTTTCGTTTTCTTGCGGACATTTACCCCATGAGCAAGGAAATTGAATAACCATGAACTAGCCAGGCTGATATGATAATTAGCCGATTCAAACACCTGCTGGATGTCAGTTGATTGGTGAGACCAAGTTGTACGCTACGCCACAAAACGTGCGACTCTCTATTTCATCCATTTTACTCAAAAAACACTACACATCGGCACTTGAACATCAAGGCCACGTTCTGTAGACAACACTTTACGCATTTCAGCATAGATAACCATATTCTAAGCTACTTTACATGTGCGATCTGGTGACATTCCTCAAGCGAGCGCGAAATTGACACAACCACAAAGCTCAGTTCCCAGAAGCCGTAAATCAAAAGGACTAAAACTGGATTTATCTTCGTCTTGTAGCTGGGAAACTCTGTGTACGACGTGTGAAGAGTGGGAAGCCTTCATCAAGTAAGCACAGATTTCAAAACTACTTATATGTTATTTGCTGGTTTTTTTTTGTGTGTGTGTGTGTTKTTTTTTTTTTTCTCCACTACCATTTATTGTGTTCACCCATACACCTGCCTTTTCTCAGGCTAATACGGCATGATTATGCTCGTGCAGTATACTTCCTCACAGGAACCGTTTTTACATTGTTCCCACACAGTGTTAACCGTCTATAAATAGACCCTGTAATTGCTGGATTATTTTTTTCGCATCAGCAGTTATTTTACTATTATTGGAGTGTTAATTTATTTCTACAGGTGGTTGCATCCCTTTATAGTGCTCTTCACACCCAATATAGCTAGTTGCAGCCCACTTCTCATCAATTATGCTCTCCCCTTTCGTAGTCTCTATATTATTGCA